AGGGCAAAATCAAATTCTCATTTGCAAGGCAAGGGGAGAAAGAGAGGGAGTGAATGCAGGAGGTACCTGGGAACGCTAACCTCTGGGTGAACCCGCCGCATCTGATAGTTTTGCTATTTGTCTGTGACATTGACAGCTCTGGGGGAGATTAGGAGCCACCCTGCCCCAGCTTCCCACTTTGCATTCTGCCTATGTGCCTCTTTACAGATGGACTGCTGCACATTTACCTCCGCCTGTTTTCCCTGGGTTTCAACACGACGCTATACCAGAGGCAACGGAGGGATGTAATTATATGCTATGCAACGATAAAACACAGCAAATGAGGAGAGAGCTGCGTCAGAAGGCTCGCAGACCGGGAGGATGCAAAAAAATACACTGTGTGGCTTTTGGTGGGGGGAGAAGCCGGAGATGAGAGTGATGAATGCCCTTCGGTTAAATACGTCCAAATCCCCCCTTCAAGCCGGTCTCTTCTTGCCAGGCAGTGAGTGAGTGTGTGAGAGAGAGTGTACAAGATTAATAGTGTAAACAGCGAGGGAGAGAGAGAGAGAGAGAAAGGCAGCAGGGAAAGAGAGAGAAAGAAAAGACTATCAGCATCTGCAGCAGCACAGTAGCCCTGGGGGAATAGTGTGAACTTTTGAACCCGGGTGGCAAGCAGTCGCAGCGATGCACAGAGCCTGCTCCTGCCTCGTAATGTGTGTGTGTGTGTGTGTGCGTGCGTGCATGCGTGCGTGCGTGTGTGTGAGGGGAAAGCACACAGCCTGTGACTGAGGAAGGAAAGGCAGGAGAGGGAAGGAGAATGAGGAAGACTTGAAGTTATTAACATATTTTCTTCCTTGCAAATGAGATGCCGCTATCCAAATGTCACAAAATCGTTACACCGATGAATGCCGAGAATAATTAATCTCCTGGTAGATATTCTGACGGGTAGATACAGTAGATGGTTATCAGAGAAAGTCCAACTAAACTTCATGACTGATGGGCGTCCAGTGACAGGCAGGCCGATCATTCACACAACTCTGGACTGAGTGCAGACAGGTCACAGGTTGGTCAAGCGAGAGGCCAAAGGTCAAGAGTTCAGTATGTGGGCAGACAGCATGACCACAGGCCAACAAACCTGCAAGGAGGTCATCTATGCAGACCCAAAATACTGTCAAGGTGCTGCATACAGATGAAACAGAAAATGTATTGCAGTGTTTCAAATGTGTTGTCCTTTCTTACTCAGGGTGAGCATCCAGAAAGTTGCTCTTTCTTTGTGAGTTAATTTGCCTTCAAGCATAGACAAGGGGCCAGTTGGCGCTTTAAACATTGTTGATTAACCCTCTAATGGAGCATCAATCTGTCAGCTGGCAAAAATGTTTTTCTATTTTGCAAGCCAAAAATACCCTGGGTATGCACTTTCAAAAACACTACACTTTTTTTCAAGCTTCAGCTAAATTGAAAAGAAAATGCGATTGAATATTCTATTTACCAGCACTGTGTGATAATGTTGCTACTGTGCATTGGCTCGTCATATTCAAATGAGAAATATGCAACAGCGAGACATAAATTCAAATTGGTTATCCTACTGCATTCTATTGCAAGTAATTGGTTTAGGAAATTGGGTCTGCAAAGTAATCATTGACAGGAGTCACATTGCTGCATTCTTTAAAAAGGCCACAACCCCACAAAACACACCTGCCTTTAGTGTGACTGATTAACGGCCGGAAACTAATCAGCAACTGATTTTGATAATTAATTTATCATTCGGTCTAAACAAAAATGCCAAACATTCCCTCGTTGCCGCTTCTCAAATGTATGTAAGAATATGCGGCTCTTTCTTTGTCTGATGTGACAGTAAAGTGCAAATGTTTGAATAAAAGACGAGGGAAGAAATCTCCTTGGCCTTCAGGAAATTGTGAGATTTTAGAGACAAATGATAAACTGATTAATTGAAGAAACAATCAAATAATGATTAGTTGCAGCACTAACTGCCAATATATCAAATTCAATTATCTCCAAGACATATCCTATAAATCAAAAGGATCATATAATCTATGCCTGATTATCTACAGTAAATGACATAAATAGATAAAGTGAAGAAAAGAAAAACATGCACATGGCAGTTTTGTTAATAAATACTACATTCACAGCTGAGTTAATAGAAGCTATATGGTGCATCATAATAGAATCATTACAATCACAAAGACGAAAGGAGATGTGTATCAAAAGCATCATCTTTTTGCACACGACTTGAAACAAGTCTCTTCCTGTGGGACTCTGTCATCGCTGCAGCTTCCTAGCAAATATCCCCGAGCGCCCAGTGGTGTGCCCCCAATCAAAGAAAAACAAACAGGCCATTTCGACTTCGTAAACTTGACCTGTAAACAGCATGACGGGGCTAAAAGCCCCACATCCCAGGCTGTCTCCTGGGGTGTGTGTGTGTGTGTGTTATTGTGGAAGAGATAATATACGCCAGAGGGAGAAATTGTGTGCATATATTTGTGCACACATATTTGATGCAACGTGTATTGGAATGGCAGATAGTATGTGAAGAAAAAATGTGGGCTCCGAATAGCACAGAGGAAGAGGGAGGGAAAGAGAGAGTTGTAGAGTTGGAAAGGGGGCAGACGAGGCTGGGGCGAGGCTGCAGGCACGGTCAGGTCACCGGTGCGGTCGGCGGGTGAATCTCAGTTCACATTACCATGCAGACACCAAGGCTAACAATGGAGGCTCCATCTGTTCCTGTCAGCCATTACAAATCTGGTGTCACCCAGTCCGCTGAAGACAACAGGCCACCGCATCTAATCAAACGGCACAGGCTCCTCCTGCGTGTAAAAGCAGCCATCGACTTCACACTCACTCACTCTCTGGTTAGGGAACAGAGAGCAGCAAAGGCAGGCAGTCGATTACCACGGATAATACATTCTCCCAGTCACAAAGTCCCTATTATGTACAGTAGCCTCAAATAAAATGATACAATTAAAGTCAAGGCGGAAAAAAACTACATTTTCTACCTTCTCTTTAAAGTCAAGAACCATTTTCTAAATTACAAATTTATGTTTGCAACAAAAGGTGCTGATTTTTGAGTTAAAGGCTATAGAAGAAAATTCAAATCCACCCCATGGATGATTGTTCCCTCAAAAAATGCCCCTGATTTCATTAGGTGGCCATGCCATTATTTTCCACAAACACTCCCTCTTCCATTGAAACAGACCGCCCAGCAGAGAAGTGTGAGCTGTTTCTTTCAACTGGCAGTGAACAGAGAATGAACTATGAACTCCACATGCCCTTTGAGTGAGGACACAGGCCATTCACTACGCTAACATGGCTGCAGCAATAAAAAAAGACACACAAGCTGTGGGGTGTAAATTTGTCTTACACAATCAAATGTTATGATTATTGATCCAACAATACAATGTGTGTTTTTTTAAAAAGGTAGGTGTTAAGTGTCGAGGGACATTCGATATTCACAGCAAAATGCAAATAAAAAAAACAGATTCTGTTAGTGCTGCATAATTGGCTATTTCTCACATTTAACACCAACAACAGTGTGATACAATGCTCGAGCTTCAACAACTAACGCACTCACAGTAACAGACGGCGTAGTTTGTAGTTGGGCGTGTTATCGTTATAGCCTTAAGGAGACATTTTTTTAAGCTGTTTGATTTTGTTTGTATCCCCTTGAAAATCTTGGCATGTTTTTTTCTGAAATAAACAATTAAAAAAAATGAATTATCATTGTCTTGTGGTCTATCTTCCCGCCATCTGCCGTGATCTGTTAACTCTATTTTTCCAGTTTGAAAAGAAAGGCGGCAGAGGACGGAAGGGTTCATTAAGTCGCTTTTGAATACATCCAGCTGGCATTAACTATCGGTATCACAAAACGACTGCAAACAATGTTCTTTTTTCCTTATTGGGAAATTCCACATGATTCCAGCTTTACCTCAGGAAAGAAGTGGAAACAGAGAGCTCAGAGTATAGATGGGCACCTGAGGCAGCAGAGTCAATAATGCCCACCTGCGGCATGTCACGTCAAGGGCTATTAGCTGGCACATAGAGTCAGAAATAAAAAAAGTCTGAACGGGAGGGAGGGCAAGTCCAAGAGAAGGGAAGATAGAGAGAAAGATTGATAAAGGGAGAGAGGGATGGAACACACATGGCCCCTCAGGTACAGTGTTGTATTTCAAACCCGGTTGTGAAAGAATAGAGGGGCTCGGGGTCAATCAATCACTGCATTAGCCCGCAGCTACAAAGCCTCCTCTCTGTGTGGGCCGCCTCCATGCCTCCCACAGTCTACACATACAGCTAAGGGGGACAGATCACGCGCTGAGGATCCACCACTGGAGGGAGCTCTAGGTCCCCAATCAAGCCTGCGTGATTTCACCAGCCCCCTTTTTGCTCCAGCCTCAGAACAGTCTACCTGCACACGGCCAGGAGGAGGAGTCACTGGATCCAGGCAGCGAGGTAGGAGGCCAGCGAAGGGAGGGGGAGTTCACAGATGTGGTCTGTTTTTTCAAATTAAGAGGGTGAGCAACAATATACAACAGAAGGGTTCAACTGTGCATCCTGTGGAGAGGTGTAGGGGAGCCAGTAAGGATGGCGAGGTCTGCTTGTTAAAACTGCACTTTGTTTCGTTTTCTCAGAGGAGTACTGCATTGTCTCCTATGACTCCTCCTTTTTACCTTTTCCTTTGTTAGTTGGTTTCCTGGCACACTGTAGTCTTTCAGAACGTTCATACAGATCATTTAGAAATATACGCTACATCATTATGATCAAAATATCACTACATTATCCTAGGTTAGATTAATGGTATGATATTTGTAATTCCGGCTAATGTCTGCCCCTCCAGTTAAAAATGATTTTCTTTTTTACTTCATGAATAGCTGTGCTTTGCGGTAAAGTCGAATTAGGCCTCCTTTGAGATCAGATCCCTGCATTGTGCAAATAGACTAAGATCTCACACAATCATTTACACACACACACTTTACAGGGAACCAGAATCAGGAGTTTTGTTAACTCACACTCAGGGTTTCCATCATCCTGGTAGTCAGAGGCGTCGTCTGATGGGGCGGAGCGACCCAGACTGGAACTGCGGTTGTCATCAGAACCATCTTCGTCTCTAAAGTCAGCTGAGTGTGTGTGTGTGTGTGTGTGTGTGTGTGTGTGTGTGTGTGTGTGTGTGTGTGTGTGTGTGTGTGTGTGTGTGTGTGTGTGTGTGTGTGTGTGTGTGTGTGTGTGTGTGTGGTTTAATAAGGGCGTGTACATGCAGAGGTGTGTAACATCATCAAAGATGAAGCTGAACATGCAGAGACTTGTCATTAAAACCATGATAATGCTGCATTAATGTGCTGTTGGGAATATTCTGAAAAGTTAGCTCATGGAAGAAAAAAAAAAAAAAAAAAGATTAAAACAATTAAAATATAAATCAGTGAATGGCTCCCTAAAGTCGGCAAAATAACTTCTGCAAGGACTATTATCATTAAATGTTTTTCCTAC